AGGAGAACACACCGCCCAGGGAAGCTTAAAGAAGCCACAAAAGTGGTACCGTTTAAGTTGAAAGGGTTGGCTGATCTTTTTTATTTGTTTACAACAGACAATATTTCATTCGGCTTTGTGTCATCATTCATTCTCTAACAAAGTTCAGGAAAAAACATATGTAGGCTATTTTATATATTTTTTTAGGATTGTTCATAGGCCTATCTATCTGAAAATAAAATATACATTTCTTAAATGTCAAAGAAACAATTCAAATATAATAAATGAAAATAGCCCCTCACTTTGTACAATTTCTATGTACATGACAATGTTTATATGCAAAATATACATAGCAAACTAGCATTAGTAAAACCTTTGCGTCATTTGAATTTGACGTTCATTAAGTAAGAAAACGTTATGCCATGAGCAGCGACAAGATTTGCCAACATATTTAATTTACTTTATTAAAAACAATTTTGCAATTCCAGAATGAAAAATGTGTGTGTGTGTGTGTGTGTGTGTGTGTGTGTGTGTGTGTGTGTGTGTGTGTGTGTGTGTGTGTGCGTGTGTGTGTGTGTGTGTGCGTGTGTGTGTGTGTGTGAGCGTGTGTGTGTGAGCGTGTGTGCGAACTGTTGTCAGTCAGATTGGATACGTTTTATAACCCTTTCACTGTGTCACTTTTCAAACTACAGTGTTTTCAAATGTGTTAATTATAGCCTACGTGTATGACCTAAAACCATATAGCCCAAGGACATCAAGGAAAAAATCAAAACATAAATAAATCAAATTTGAAATCGTTGTAATCTGTGTCCCCTATCTCCGACATTTGATCCCACAATATCGGATATATTTCCACAGACCACCCATTATATATAAAAACAATGCCTTGATTGCTATAATGTACAATTAAATATAAACAAACAACTAGCCTAGTTTCAAAACAGCTGAAAACATTTTAGGACTCGTGTGGTTTCAGTTGTAATATATGTATTTTCTGTATCATACACCAAGCAGGCCTTACTGTAACCTATGTAAAACACTTTCAGAAATTATGAGCATTGTCAACTCCATATTTTATTAAAAAATATATATTATCAACGGCACTGGGAGAAAAAAAATCCACCACTGAGTTTAATGAGTCGTAACAATGCAACAACAAATCAACGAAACGACAACATCCCCAATTTAGAGACTGTTGCAGCACTTCCTGATAGTTTCCCCTGGTCACCACCAGAGGTTATCAGCCCCCCGTCTCATGCGTCTGCTCACAGCGGCCTGCAGAGTATAACGCCTCCACACACACAACCAAAAGCAATACAACTCTTCATACATTTGACATTTCAAGGTAAAAATCAGCAGCTGAAGATGCGTCCAAAGAGTCTAAAAAGTTGTGTTAATCTTGTGTTTGTATTTGAAAAGATGCTGTCCAGTTTAGTATGAATTCCGTGTTTTCCTAGTAACTGTTAATCCCGGGAGAGTAGACCATTTCCTTATTTTAGGTGACAAAATAAACCATTAAAACATTACTTTCTGGAAACTGGATATTGCAGTGCTGGGATAACGGAATATAATTCTATATTTCCTTTTACCATTGAATATAGAACTATTTTAAAGATGCGTATTTGGATATTTTTGTGATAACCCGTTGTGAAATGTTACATTTCTAAATACATTTCAAATTTAAATGTAATATCCATTCAAATTAAAAATGAAATGTGACATTGTAAGTATAAATGAAAGATCATTTGCATATTCTTACAGTTTTATCTCATTGTTTAAGATTATTAATGTTATGTGGCAGACGTAGCCTTATGTCATGTTGGACGCCATAAACACAATTATAATGTAGGCTATGCTTTAATATTGTTAAATGTCAGGAGTTAAATTGTAATTAAAGCTGTCTTATTTTATTTTTCTCAACTACATCACCGCATCGCGCTCTTTACTTTGACAAAAGTAATCACTTGTAACACGAAATACAAAATATTACTCTAAATTAGTTTTGTTTGTTCAATGAACAGCGAATTGTGTAAGCTACACAGCCTAAACAGCCACAACTATCCACGTAGGCGTAGGCCTACCGCCAGTAGGAAGAAAACGGCCTACCTTTAATCGTTATATTGTGGGCGACGTCGTATTATAATTTCCTCTCGCTGTGCAGACAGTATGGCTGCTTGCTGTGGGATTACTGGTGCGGTGTGAGACGTCAAAAGTCCTACCTGTCCTCCGTGGTCAATAACACACACCTCACGATGTGTGCATGAAACCATTGGCGGTTCAGAGTGCATGGGCCACAGCTATAACTTTTTGGCAGACTTCTGCAGAAAACACAGAAAAAGAACAGAGCCCAAATGTTAATGCAATGCTCTGAGAGATGGTCAGAAATGCAGGTCAGAGGATATCGCTACACTTCCCCTTTTTTATGTATTTATGGCATGTCATTAAGCTTGGCTGTCTAGACAGGGAAATAACACCTTGTTTGCCTACAAACAAACCGCCAACGTTGGTGTCCAGCCCCCTATTTATTATTCACAATCTGCTGTGATGTCAAGGTCAAAGTGACTGCATAGTCATGGTCAAGGGTAAATCAGGAGACCCAGAACTTTCCACAATGATTGAAAACCCAGGAAGCAGACAAACAGAAACTTGAAGTCCGACGGCTTGGATTCTAATCAACAACCTCAGAACATCCGAAGAGCTGGAAAAAGTGATAGGCCTGCCAAAGACTGACCTACAGAAAAATTAAACTACAAAAACACCAGCACACTTACATATATATTGCAAATGATACTGTATGATGTTTTCGGAAAAAGCTACAACATTAGACCTGTAGTATGGCTAGGCCTCAGACGTGATTCATTTTAACAAAAGCACAGGGGCCGTATTTATTTTTATTTACATCTAACCTTAAGACCAATCTGCGTTTATTAGGAATGGAAAGAAAATGATCATAGACTTGAGATAGATAGTCCTAGTAGGTTAAAATGAACCATCTTGAATTTGAATCTCATTTTTAAATATAGGCACATTTTCCCACATAGGCCTATATTTATTTTGTATAACTACAACTTAAGTAACCCAACTTGCCTTTAGGACTATAAGGTCTTAATACTCAATAACACTGGTCGCATGCATTCAAAAACACGTCCCGCAACCATACACACAAACACACACAATCTGCAAATAAATACACTATATCTCTAAACCAAACTAGAAGCTCAATCTGCAGTGCTGCTTCGGACCGATATGTGTACTTTATCGTATGTGTATTTCCGTTATTAGGTGTTTAGATTAATACAAATAAGGGGTTCATAGGTAACATTATAAAATGTATCTTCAAGTTCATTGCTAAACTCACCTGCTTTTTAACAGTGATAACAGGGTCTAACTTACATCCAAATACGTGCGGGTGATGCTACACCAAACAGGCATTGTGTGCTTCAAAATGTATGAAAATGCTTTGCCATTTTAAATTGAGCATTAATTGTTTATAAATGACAAAAAGCAGAATCAGCTAAATATGTGTGGGCCTTGTATAAAGCGGACAGGTAAGTGTAAGGAGAAGTCCCCGTGGAACTCGTGTATTGTGCGGGAACAATTCTCGTAATTTGAACAAATAAATTGTACCTGTGGAATATCAGAATACATGAAAATAATATTGTGCGGTCACAAGTTACACGTTTCCGTGATAGCGGACTCTTTTAATTTTGGTTTGTTTGTGATGATTCTGAAAACTGCAAAGTATCCTAGCAGGTAAAACACCTTTGACATTCACTTGGATAAAATGCGTTTGGATGTCAGGGAGGATTCGGACAAACAACACGAGTTTCTCTCAGCCACCGACTGTGTTCCTCTTAACTGATTATTTTTGAAAGATCCAACCCTACAAGTCTTCATATATAATATCTGGAATATAAATTTAAATATTATGATCCATTTTGTATATTGCAATGTGAGAAAAGCCGCCATGCTGTTCACCAACGACGCGCAATTACTACATCGTCTACTTTCGCCATTAACAACACTCCAGGATGCCCAATAAGTCTTAATCAAGCACTCCGCAGCATAAAATCCGCACCCACCCATCCGCTGCTGATGTTATGAACCTGAAGAGCAAAGACGACATTGCTTAGAGCTTCTGCTGCTTAATGACACCAGTGTAACTTGAAACGAGAGGAAATGCTGCAAGGATGGTTGATTGACTTGAATATTTAAGCATTTTCATAATCATCATTTATTTATGAAACACGTTACCAGTACGTAATTCAACACCACAATACAGTTCACATACTGCACGAAAGTAGAAATAGACAGGCTTCGTACACGGCGTGTGATCAGCTAATGCTACACTAACATTAAACAAAGACAAAAAAGTAATAAAACGATTGTGCATTTATGTGTAATACTCACTGACTTTTTAATGGTTTACAATCATTCCAGTTGCATGACAGAATCCTTCACTGACAAAGGAAAAACATACAGGTCTTGGGATATTCCAGTTACAGTTCCGCCATACAAGATAATATGAATTAAATAAAAAGGCATTGCACTATACAGATTAACAACATAGGAGCCTTTGTTTTATCACAGGCTTATTAAATGATTCCCCCACACAGAGAAACATAGCGTTTGAAATTAAGTAATATTTTTAAAAGAAGATCATTCTCTCTTTCGAAAGTCCTCTTTGTGAGCTTTTTGTTGAAGAAGTCTCTAAATCAGCGCGTCATTGCTCCACAAATTATGTCCATGTGGCGATTATCTTTCTATAATGACAGCAAAAAGTCTCCTCTGTTCTCATATGCTCATCGCAAGTTTAGAAATCAGTCCTTTTTTGAGATTTGGCTTGAAGAAAAAAAAAAAAGAGAAGAAGAATAACACGCAATACTTGTCTTTGAAATACAGATATCGTTTTAAATATTATATATTTATATATGTACATTCATATAAAACAAATGTGAAATGGATTTTCAATATTTTCACAGTTTTTAGAGCATGTACTCTAACTTGAAAACAGGGGACGTGGTAGCATGGTCGATGGAGATGATGGAAGTTAAATAAAAAAGCACTGCCAAAAATGTTTTTCAGCCACGATTTTATATGCAAGAGGTAAATATATGGCATGATGTTGGAAGGTATGAGTTGCAGCTTCAAGAAGGTCGAGGATCTTATCAAGTGGTGTGCATGTGATTGCTTTTGGATTTACTGACAAATTTCTTCTCCTTGACTCGCCGGTTTTGGAACCAGATGGTAACTTGACGCTCAGAGAGGTTGGTGCCGGCCGAGATGCGCCTTCTCTTGTCTTTGGTGATGAACTTGCTGGCTGCATACTCTTTCTCAAGCTCCTTCAGCTGCATCTTGGTGTAAGGGACACGTTTTTTACGCCCGCGGCGGTAACTGCTGACCTCAGGCTGCAATGGCACAACATCTAGAGAAAGAGGGAAAATGCCAAGCAAAATGTTAATGATGCGCAAAAACACCGCAATGTGCGACTTCACAAAATCAGCAGAAATTGTATTTGACAAAACTGGTCTATTTCTGAACAAACTTGCCAAGGTTGATATATAATTACTGACTTTAACTGATAATAAATAGGAAACTAGTTGCAAGGCAATTCAATTTTCAAGGTCGAAACTCGAAGGTGTGCGTGTGCGTGTGTGTGTGTGTGTGTTGTTTTTTTTTGGGGAAGGTGGAGGGGGTCATAACCAAAATGCAGTGAGGATCTCAGGTGTACTGCACCTGACATGTAAGAGCACAATTATAGAATCGTGGCATAGAGTTCACTATGTAAAATATACTCTTTTGTTACAGTGTTGAGCAAGCCTATATTTTCGTACATGCACAATCAGTATCATGTTAGCCACTACCATTGTCCTTCGTTTCAAATGAAAAGTGATCAATGTTGTTCCTTAGGTGCATGTCGATACTTAATCTACTATTAACTATCTACTACACAACCATCCTTGTAAACGCTATCTTAGGTCAATCTCTCACATGTGTAATTGAACTGCTGGGTACGATTGTGCAAATATAAACTGCAATAAGTCTCAATGTGGGTGCATTTCGCACTAAAAAACGTTTTGAAAATAGAAATCACAGACCATAATGCATTTAAAATGTGTTCTCTGAATTGTCCTTTAAAAAATAGATACATCATTTTGTTCCACTATGTGTTTTAGAAAGCCCCAAAACCGTCTGGCAGTGGCAACGGTTTTTGTTCAGGTAAAGTTCTGGGATTACACCCTTTCGCCAAGACTGGAGTTTAGTGCAAGACAGCCAATGAAAAACATGACAGGACAAGCATGGCAATACCTTGTGAAATAGTGGCAAGCTGTGACTCATTAGGCTTTTTAACCCATGTCATTTTAAATTCAAGAGTTGTGGATATTTAACCACAGTTTGTGTGAATACAACATTATGGAAGTTCTTAATTTGGTCAATCATAATTCAAATATTATCTTCAAGATATTCTTATTGTTCTTAAATATTTAGTTATAAGTACGTTAAGGATATCTGTAAGAGGTTACCGTTTTATTATCTTAAAGGAAAATAGTGTAGGCCTATGTCTGTTTTTGTGTATGTGGTTTGTGAAGCAATACAGAAAGACATGGACAGCGCGCTCTTGTGTTTTTGTGCATGTGTGCGCGCGCATTTGACTGCGTGCTCGTGCTTTCGTGGCTTGCTCTTGTGTATTTTTAGGGCAAATGTCGTGTGATAGAGCCAGTAGAGGTCTGAGAACTTCCCTGTTGGAAATAAAAATTCCCACAGATTTCACATACTTAATAAACCCTTGTGGTAAAAGAAGCAGTGTAGTAAACACTCTGTAAACTGCATACTGACCGGGCCTGTGTGTCAATGAGCATATATCGTGCATGTATGAAAGTAAGCAAAGCAAAAGGAGAGCTTGAATATCAAATATTAACTGATCAGTGGTTGTGAAGTACTAAAAAACTGATGTCCCTGCAATGCAAATATTGAATAAATGAATCCTACAAGCAGAGGACTAAACAGGTCGCTGAGATTTATTGGCACCACCCAAACACTGTAGCCTATAGTCACTATATATTGTCAAACAGGGGGCAAAGGTATGCACTGTTGTACCTTCCTTTTCTACGTGACTGAAACTATATTCATCATATGACTTCCGAAGAATTAGAATACAGGCTGTCGAACGGAAATGCTCCATTTATAGATGTATTATAACTATTAAAAAGGGGCCATTCAACTGACATTTCCTTGAACTCACAATTATGATTTTTACGCACAGTTCTAGTAGAATGCATATTCGTTTAATGTTAAATGTAAGAATAACATTACCTCTCTAACAGAGTAGGCATGGACATATGATAACTGACATACGACTTGACAGCTGTATGTGTATTCAGCAAACGTATAGTTTCCATGGAGGTATTTCATAAGTAGATATTGGCTCTTTTACGCAGTACAATATATAAACTAAGCAATAACATCAAGGCGAAAATAAAATGCATTTAAATGGCTATTTGGACGTCATGACACGTGTATTAAAAGCATACACGCGGTGGGACTAACGTGAATAACAGCCTAAAGACAGCTTTAAAAAACTTAACTGAATTTGTACATACCTGGAAAGGGTGATTTCCAAAGATGAGATGACTGCGTTTGTTCTTTGGAGCAGTACACCTGCCCATCCCAGCCATTGGAGAGAGCCCAGTGTTGGTAACCATCCATGGGGATCAGGGCGTCGTGCCTTGGTTCGGGATGGGCACTGATACCGGGCACCACTGACACGTCGAGATATCCAGGGACAGCCTGATATGAGCTGGCGAAACTCGGGTAGAAGGCAAACTCTTTCGCCCTGGTGGACAGTTCTTCCGTGGGCAGCGCTGTGCTGGTCTCGGCATATTTATCTGCGGGATGGTACGAGCAGGGCTTCTGCTGCAAGTTCACGTTGTGCGAATGAGACAATCTACAGCCGTAATATGGGTTTCCAAACGGATAACCGTAGCTCAAAGATGCACTGGATGACGTTTGAGGAGCGGGACACTGACGGCCGGCGTCTGGAGAAGAAATATCCGAGTAGACGGAGCCCTGGTGGGTCGCTATGGAGCCAGAATGTCGTCCCAGCGCGGGGTGCGACATTAGGTCCCTGCAGTGGGTCGCAGGGCAATTACCGCTCAGTCCCTCCATTGTTTGGCTTTTATTCTGGTTGTTTTCATTCGGGCTTTTTTCATAAACGTACATCAAGGTGTCCGCCCAGCGTGGATGCAGAACCAGCGAAGTCGTCATATCAGGGGCTGCCGATGCTTTTTAAAAGTCGACTACTCCAAGACGGACACCTCATTTCCAACTACATTTTACACCAAGCGCATGCGCACACAAGACCCCCGTGTGTCCACTTCATTAAGAATCTGGCACGTGATACGCTAACAAGTCCTACGAGATTGGGCTTGCGAGTTGGGGCAGAGCAGCCCTTTAAAGACCCACTGCCTCCCATGTCACCGTTTTTTCCTGCAGAATATCGAGACATATCATTGGTTTAAATCACCTAGACCCACACCCTTAAAGGGGAGTATATGGACACTTTTAAGATCGAGGCAAACGAAAACAACCTGTGAATTTTGGCCGACTCCGAAGACTGCCAGATAATATGATAACATACGAGACATGTTAGTTGTTACATGGAAAGGAGAACAAATAATATATTTCAATTGAATCGCTCAACTGAAATATATGTGTGCGTTTGTGCAGGCATGTTGTGTTTCACTCGTGACAGGGATATGTTCGGCTATTTCATGTTATAATACATATAACGTGATTTAATCTGAAATTCATGCAATGTAGTCAATTGGATGTGTATTATATAACAAAGTATTCAACATTAATAAATACAGTGCTCTCAACGCTAAGAGCACTGCTCTCCCCGTATTACACTTCCATGGGTCAACTATTAACATCCTGAGATGAGATTCTGTGACTAGTTGTGGATTATTACTTTTCCAAAAGGACTAATATTTATGTTTTCTACTAATCTTGCCTTTCAGAGATTGATATTGTGTGTAGCCTAAATATAGCGGAATAAAACTCTTGCAAGTGTAACCATTCAGTCAGTCAGAAATAACATCTACTTATCTACAGGGTGTATGCGTGTGTTTTCTGTGGTACAACCAGAACTAAGACTTTGACAAAGATAAATGTGTTGAATGGTTGTAGTTGCACCTTAGCATTAACAGCCACAGGACGAGGTGAAAGCTATTTCAGGTAAGATACTGTCATTTGTATTACCGTTCAGTAGCCTACACAGTGTATCTTCCATGTGAAGGGATAATTACAGTAATCAGCTACGATGAATCATATATTCTTATAGTTTATACAGGTTACATCTACTTGTGAGCGAAGACATTTTCAGTTGTAGTATTCTCGATTAGGCCCAAAAGATTTTTCAGCGACAACGTGACCAATTTAAATGAGGATTAAACGACTTCATGTGATGTTTCTGTATCACTAAGCTATTCATTCATAACATTGAGTAAGAGGACGCTCTAAGGCGAAAATAGGAACAATGGTCGCTTTCAGCAGGAGTATATTTACAGATATCACACAAAAACACTTTAATTGAAATGCGGACCTGTTTTCCATAAACTCCTCTGTTATGCACGCATCGTCCTTTAGATTTGAAAATCTGGTTACAGCTCTATTTTGAATCCAAAATGTATTTTTAGTTCATCTAATTTCCGGGCGTTGTATCACAATGCTATATCCATCTCCTTTTACAATAAACACTCCTAAGTTATTATTTAAAACTGTATTTTTAATTGAAATTATTAGATTGCACAGGCCCAGTTGTCCGTCAAATTGAGTTTTAGCGATGCCTATCCTATGAGTCACTCATAAAGCAGGCTACAAGCTGCCCTACGAAGGGTTCCTAGTTTATCAACGTTATTGCACTGCTGAGTTTCCTTGGGAATAATCAGGCCACCGTTTAGTATGTGTGTACCAAGGAAGCTAGACCCCTGTCCCCCCTCGGACAGAGACTATAGTTCTTTTGTCTCAAGGAAATTACAACTAACCCTCATCCAAACGGCAGCTGCACGGAAGTCCAAGGTCAAGGTAAAAAAAACGCAGACAAACAGGGTCGTAATCAGAGTCTAGACAGACAAGAATGAACTTCACACTAGAGTATGCATGCAAACTAGCTGTTATTTAGAGACCCTTACTCTAAAATATCTTCTGTGTGTGAAGAGAGAGAGAGAGAACTCTAAATAATGCCTTGTGGGTTGATTTTTTCCAAGGATCAGGAATTTGACAGCTTTTGTGCTGCAGGAAACCGGCTCTTTCAAAACGAACATTTTCCATGAAAGCTCAGACCTCAACACAAAGTTTCATCATCATTTACCAGTTTTTAAATGATAGTAGGCCTATATTATTTTTAGTTTGTTGCATTTTTTCATTCAGCTTAACTTCCACATCAAGCCAAAGTGTTTGTGGTCATAGTTTCCCCCCGTGGGATATACGGACCATGAAGCTTTGGTCAAACAGGCGGCATAGTCTTATTTATAAAGTTGTTCAATAAAAATAAATACCAGGGTTTGATTAAGTCAATTTTAATGTTGCAATGATCATAAATGACACGTCAAGCGTCTTTTTGAATCTCCAAATCTAAGATTGAAAAGATGGATAAAAAAATACATTCTCATAACTTATGTTTTACGAAAGAGAAATACAATTACAAGAAAGTACAATCTAATATAAAAGGGACAACTAAATAATTCACAACGAAATATTTTCTATTTTGCAATAACTAATAGACTAGAATTATTCGCGTTGGAGCCAGCAAATTAATGATTAGCCAAATATTAAATATTTAAGCCTCTGGCGCATTTCCACATTAGGCCAACAGCAAAATGAGCACTGCAGCGGCCAAATCTAAAACCAAATATATTCATGCGGCGCTATTATCTAATACACATCCTGCTAAAAGAAATTCACAATGAATTATAATACATCCAACTAACTACTGCTAACGTTAATTATTTTCTTCATTAACATGTTCAAGTCACACAGGTGGATTCTTAAAGGATGTTTTTCTTTTTCAATTTTCACATTTCAGGGCAGTTTTGTATTTTAATGTTACCACCTATACTGCCTATCAGGATGGTATTTAAAAATAATCCACCTAACCGCCTATTGTACTTTTAAAGGCAGCCAATGGATATGTAAGATTATATTTTCTAACCATCTAAACTATTTATTGATGCAGCGTTGGATGTTGGGTGGTGCCTTTGATGTGTATGAATTAAAAATAGTATGATGCGTAAACCGAAATGTTATTAATTAGAAATAATTAGTTGGGTTTACATTTAAATGTATACACAATTCCTAACACTCAAACAAGTAGCCATGGGCGAAAGGACAAATAATATTCGCGTGTAGCTGTCAGTATTATTTAACCACATTCGAAAATCCAAGTCCACTAAAATCAACCAAAATCCAAGACAGGAAGGAAAAGAACTACACACCTGCGTCATTAAAGCAAAAAATACAATATATAATCACCGATAGGTTTCACATAAATATAATATAATATAAAAAACACTGCTGCAGTGTCAGTTTGTGCATTAGAAGTGTTTAAAACGTCAATATGTTTGCTGGTTATTACAACTATTCATACAGTGCTCTGGTAAAACTTTACTGGAAAAATATATGCTTTTAACGAATGTGTTCACATTTCACTGTTTTACGCTCTTAAAAAGCGTAAAACAAATCTACCAAAAATGATTACTTTTTCGCTGCAGTTTCACTTATTTCAGGAATTGTTAATTGAAACCACTACCAATATCTCCACAACCAGCCATGATGTGCTGCTGTAAATATCTTGACAACCAGACATCGTGTCCTTCCAGACAGGCCCTGTCAGAGAGAGCCCGTCTGAGGCGGAGGTTTGTGGGGGAGGGGAGAGCACCCATCCCCATACAAATACTGCCTACCTGCGGCTTCCGCTCTCAGGAACTGACTGCATATGCACGTGAGTGAGCCGATGGATTTCATGTACACAAAATATGCTCTTCTATACACACAACGTGTACAAGTAGCATCTGCAGAAGCCTACGATGCTCCACCCTATTGAAATCATTCAAAAATAGTTCCTATTTTTCACATTACTACAAAAAGACTCCAATGGAAACTATTCAACATTGTCATTTCTTTGCCTTCATTTAAGGGAAACCTTTTGGCTACACTTTCTGCTGTGAGAGCCCTCCATCAAAAGGACTCCGTGTTTTGTTAAACGCCGCTAAAATGCCAGTAAAAAGCAATACTATCACTTGTCAAACATTGTCTCACCGGTCTTGAGAATGATGCAAATCCCTGGGCATAAAACAGTCTTTGAAGAGGCGAAGTAGCGATCCAAGAATGTGTTGACAGCTTGCAGGTATACTCTGCGCCATGCATGCTGAAATCAGGCTGCGTTTATGTTTACGAGTTTTCAGCCAGCTTCAGGCTTAGCTATGAGAACAGTTTTTTTATAATAATCAAAGTACACCAAGTGGTAACATTGACAGTGGACAAAGTGAACCAAAAACAAACAAACAAATAGATTCTCACAGCAGTATAAAGGCCAATTGCATTTTCAAAATGAGGATTGGAAGATTTAAGTGAATGAACATGTCACATTCAATGGAATAAACTTTGGACCCATTAAGTGTCTGAACTAATTAAATGGACAAAAATCTGACAGTAGTGCATACATAAATCTCATAATAAATCAAGGCTGATTTGAAAGTTGCGCATGACTCATGTGCGCATGGTCTGGCGTAACATGTATTTAGCATTTTGGTTCATGTCCTGCAACACTTTCCACAGCAAAATATGAACTTTCGCTTCCTTATAGTACTTCACGTGGCGTCTGTGTGCGTGTGTGTTTTAAAAAGAATTGGCCTGTTGTCCAGCACGATGGAGGGAGAGCAGAGCAGTCCACTGTCATGAAAACATTCCTCCAAAACTAAAACAGCATCTGAATCTGGTGTTTTCCCTCCGCCTGGCTTTAATTTACGATCAGAAATGTTCATAATTGCATAAAGCAGGACCACTTGCCTTCTATGCCAGCCGTCAGGGCACGATGTTGGCAATAACATACTAAAATGTTGTCTAAAATATACATAGAGCAGTGCAGTGTTGATGCGTAACAAACAGGAATAAATGGCTTCAACAAGAGAGGGACATTTCAACACAATCGTTATGCGTAAATAGAGTACTATGGACAGTTCTGTTTTCCATTTCGGCTAGCCACA